ATGGAAACTAAAGGAAAAATAATACTTCTTCCTATTATTCTTAAATGTCATTTTGGCTTTATCAACCATTAACCAAATAAATGACGTTTTGGATATTTTGTACATATTTTTTTATTATTACCCTCATTTAGCTAATAAATACATTACGTATTTTCATATTCACTCCTCATATTTTTTCAAAACAGTCATCTCTATCTTCATTAAAGAGAGTTATTATTGTCAAAAATATTATTCTTAATTATTGTGCAACTTTTCAAAACGACACTTATTATGAATAAGAGGGAGTAATGTTGGTGGGTTCCACTTACTCTTTCTTTAGCACAGTGAGCGTAAGCGCGCAAATATTTTGTCGAGTTGATGTTAACGGCAAGCACGACTTTTCCCATTAGCCGGTGCCACAAAAGTGCGCTGATGTTGATTGCATCAAAGCACGTTATGTTACTAATATAGTAAAGCTGCAAATCTTTGAAAAATCAGAAAAAAAATTAATGTCTGATAAGCTTATCCTAGCTTTATCCTATCCTACCTGTAATAATCAGGATTGGGAACAAATGTAGTTAAAAAAATTTAATGTCTGATAAGCTTACCCTAGCTTTATCCTATCCTACCTGTAATAATCAGGATTGGGAACAAATGTAGTTGTGTCTAGGAGCCCGTAAAAACCGCCGATAAAAGTCTGCCTGCAATACACTTTGGTTTGAAACTTAGCTGCCATTGCGATTTGATCCAGATACCTATAAAAAGATTATGTTGGACTTGTCAAATTTTATCCTTAAAAAAAAATCGAAGAATATAAGTCGAGGTTAAGTTCGAAAAAATTTCACCAGAAGCTGTCGACAAATGTGTTCGATATGTTTGGAGCACCATTGTTGAAGGCTCCTCCCGACTCGCCGACCCATGCGGAAGCCCAAGACCCGTTCGATTGGATTGTTGAAGTAACATTTTTGAATCTGAGAGATGCTTTATCCAAATGATCGGGATTCAAGATTTTTATCATCGTATTGCCATCGTTTCCTGTCATAACCGAAGAAGATAACATCTCCGAAAAAGGAAAAGAACGGGCAGCTAGCTAAGACTATGTTTGGTAACCAAATAAGCTAGTTTATAGATTATGTGGTTAGCTCATAAACTTCTTGTATACCATAAGTTTCGTTTGGTATGACGAGTTTTTTTAAAAAGCTCGAGTTTATCTCTTTGGGTAGCTTTTTGAATAAGCTCGTTGATTTTATTTTTTTTTTATATATATTTCAGCTAGCTTATGATTACCAAACACTTTTATCATATAAGCTAGCTTTCAGCTATAAGTCATAAGCTCGAAAATCACTTATAGGCTATGTTTGATAAAACTAGCTGATAGCTGATAAGCTAGCTTATAGCTTATATGTAATTTTTGAGCTTATAGCTTATAGCTTATGACTTATAGCTGAAAAGCTAACTTATATGATAAAAGATGTTTGGTAAATTAGCTGATAAGCTAGCTGAAATAAAAAATTCAACTAGCTTATTTGAAAAGCTACCTAAAGTAGCTTATGAAATAAGCTCGCGCTTTTTAAAAAAGCTCGCTCTACCAAACGAGGCTTATTTCAAACAGGGAGTTTATAAGCTAACCAAATAAGCTATAAGCTAGCTTATTTGACTTACCAAACATACCCATAAGCTATACGCTAGCTTATCAGCTAGTTTTATCAAACATAGTCTAACTACTTGGGACTATAAATGAAAAAGAACCAACCTGGACCGAGAGTGTACAAATGATACGACACAATGTCGACAACATTTGGTCCCGAGATCTGAAGGAGATCACCATACCACTTCTTATCGAAAAATCCCGATGGTGCCATTAAACGAGCCACTTGTTTCTGTGAGAAATTCGCATACAACTCGTTAAGCATATCCTTTAGTCGCACGACATCTTTTCCATATTGTTCGACTCCCACACTAGCTCCAATCCCTTTGCCACTTAACTCGTTACCTAGTCACAAAGATAAGGAGATAACCGATCTGAAACTCATCAACGACTGAAAAAACCCAAAAACAAGAATTTGAAGTTCTCAATACCAAATTCCCAAGAGTCGATATGATTGTGATATCCCTTGGAAAGAGTGTATCGAATGAAATCATGAGCATTGCTTGAATCCCAACTTCCTCCCCAAGCATTGTTCTGAATATGGTGCCTCCCGTATAGAGCATTAAGCCCGAATGTTACGATAACTCTGCAAATGCCAAGTTTCTTCAGATTGTAGCATACTAATCTTTCTTGTGCAGTTTTTTTCTGTTTACATTTCATTGTGTATATAAGGATATGAAATATTCATATACATAATGACATAAAAATCGGAGCTTTACCCGGTCCTATTGAAAAATTTATTCAGTTCATCCCATCTGTTCATGAGCAAGCACCCTTTCGAAAAACCGAACAAACCGCCCTTCTGCTTCTTAAATGGATGGCAAGGAGGGGTTAATTTCCCCACATCATATACCACTTGATCTTGCAAAGAACCACCGAATCTAAGTCTCAAGTTCTTGAAAGCTGTCGTTAAACTAAACGGAGTAAGACAGCATATCACATCACGTCACATATGAGGTACGATTTTTTTTAAAGAAAAAAAGGGATAAAAAAACAGGAAAAACAAACCTTTAATAGCATTATTAAGGAAAGGGTGAGATAAGTTCTGCCAAAAGAAAACAAATTCAAGATAACACAATTAACAAACCACACATATATGATCACAGTTGAGGAAAAATGAAATCATCGCCCGTTAGCAACATTTTTCTTACGAGATTTATGGCTGACGATGAACCCCAAGGACATCGGTTGTAATTACACTTATGTGGCGGCCACAAATCGATAGTGGCACAAATGTAATGATCATCCGTTTCAGCAATTTTGGCGCTTGTGTCGATGATAATCTTCCCCTCTTCGAATATCTGCGCGAAAATTGCAGGGAATATCGCGAAACAGAACAAGAGTAAAATCCGGAATGCCATGGCCGATCGACTAAGCAGGAGACGAAAAATGCAGCTCGACCAACTCTAATCAACTGATACAACAAAAAGAAACATATATGAGAGACTTATCAACCAACCAGCTTACAAAAAACCTCCAAAGAGTAACACCAGAAACAAACATTAACCAAAAAAAAAAAAGGACAAAAAAGAGAAAAAAAGATCCGAGCTTTTTCACTCGGTCATGAAATTACTGAACGAGGAACCGAGTAAAGATCACGTAATCAGAACAACATTACGAAGAAAACGAGGGACTGAGTAGATGACTAACCTTAAAAGTTACGAATTTTCATTACAGCGTGAGGCCCGATTCCAGTGCAGCATCGTAAACAACCCGTGTACAGTCTTTTCTTGAAGAAACAAAATACATTTCTTGGTTGAAAGACATTAAGAAGAGAGCAGAGCAGCTCAAGAAAAGTTAAAAGCATACAAGTTACAACTCAGAGAATGGAAAAGGTGATGGTTATATAGTGTTATTCTCATATTTCTTGAACCTTAATGTGAAGAGAATATAGCTTTTTTATAGTGGAAAAAAAGGGTATATGATAATAAAAACACGGTTTGAATTTTTAGTTTTTTACTGAAACAGTTATATAGGGCATGCTTGTTTATTCAAATAACATATTCAAAACGAGTTATTTTGGTTAATTAGAGTTAATTTTGAAAAATATGTTATGATTAGTTGTTAGTGAGATTTTATTAAAATTATATTTAAAGTAAAATGATTAATATTGACTTGATGTAAAAGTATGTGATAAATGATTAGAAATGATTGGAAATGATATGTAGTATTTAAAATTATGTGAGTGAATGAATAGTGAATTAAAGTTGATGTAATGTGTAAGAATGATTGGTTTGTATTATGTAATTATATGAATAATATATTTATATACATCTACAATTGCTGGCAAGTTTCAATAAATTTTATTCAGCCATCAATTAATAAAAATAGGAGTTCATTTAATAAAAAAATCTTTATGACCAACATTTAAATGACAGTTATACAACTGAAACTTTATTGTTATTCATTTTTTATTATCTAACATATTTACATGATTTTAAATGTTTTGAATATACAATATTAAAGTATTTTACAATTAATATTCTTATTTTGTATTGTAGTTATACAATAACCAAAAAAAAAAACAACAAAAAATTGATTTATGTGGAAGTTAAATAATTAATATTTATATATTATATATTTACATAAAGTCAAAATTTTAAAAATAATACACACTTTATCTAAATTTAAATTTTTAAATATCGTATACGTACATACAAGAAATAAATTTTTGTTTCCCTTTGTGCATGTACACATGATCGAATACTAGTATTAAAAATAGTAGATTGAGTTAATATTGAGTTAGATTTGAGTATGAATTAAATGTGATTAATTTTTTTGGTAAACAAACATGCCCTTAATATTTGCTGGTAAGTGGTGTCCTTCAAAATTCCAAGTACACCCTCAGGCATATGGTATAGTTTCTTGTTATTTAAATATTATTTTATGATACTAAGAGTGTGATATGGATACAACAAATATATCACAACAAAAATTCTATGGATACAAACCCTATAGTAGAAAAATCAATCATAACTCAAATTTATCTTAAATTTGATCCAACTCTACTATCCTATATATTATCAATACAATTAAATAATATCAACCAATCATTCTTACACGTCACATCAATTTTAATTCAATATTCATCCACTCACATAATTTTACCTAATCATCATTGTTGATTTTCGAGTTTGAGCCACGAGCAACTCATAGGCCGAGACCCGCAACCCAGATGGCAATGACCCCCAAAGACCGGGTCGGCGCCCGGTCTTAGAAGGACCGGGCTCAACAAAATGCAGAATCTGTGAGGATAGCATGTGGGGTTGTTTCCTAGACCGGTATTTAAAGCACACGAAGAAACGATGTCGACCTCGAAAGAGTGTCGAACTAGAAATTAAGATCTCGAATACCAGGAGATGGGGATGGCTCAAAGTCGTGGTGAGTGCCCGACCTGGACATTCGTCCAGATCGGCCCTGGCGTGCTTAAGGGATCTAGAAATCATATAATATTATCACTTGTCATGTGATGATTGTTGATGGGACGCGTCACCCTAGGTTGCCACCCTAATGCACCTAGATCGATGGGGCACCATGTCAGCATTAAATGCCCCACACGTGTGCATTTAATGTCTGATAGGTAATCATTGAGGAAACTTCAGACCTTATTTAATGCTTGTCAGAGTGGCGTCGTCTGTCACTCTGAATTACTGTGCGAAATGACATGATGGACAATACTCTAATAGTATCAGTTTAGTGTTACTATAAATAGTTGATCACCCTCATTTATTGTGGGTTGTTGATCTATCTACCAACTT